TGTTGCACTTTTGGGTTTGATATCTGCCTTAGTATGTTGAGTTTTGGGTTCTGTCCTGTCTGGTGTCCAGTATCTGCTATGTAGTCTGTTGTGTTTTGAGTTCCTCTGAGTTATTGTGTGGTCAGTTCATTATCTGTTATTTAGTTGGTCTTTGATTCCATGTCATGTTCTTGGTCTTGTACGTTAGTTCATGTCTTTAGTGTTTACTCCGGGTCTTGTGTTCTCTGTTAAGCTCTGTACTGTGTTCTAGTTCTGTGTTCTCGCTTATTCACTCTGCCCCAGGTCTGCTTGTCATGTCAAGTCTCTCTGTTTTCCCCTGCGCTCTCTCTCTCTGCCTCGTTAGTCTCATGTCTGTCACCTGTGTTGCTCCCGCCCTGCTCGTTAGTCCCTGTGTATATAAACCTGGTGTTTCTGTCTTGTCTTTGTCTGGTCATTGTTCATGTTACCCCTCAGTCTGTCGTGCGTGTACTCTCTGCCTGCCTGTAACCAGCCTTGCTTGTCTTGTCTCCCTGTACTTTTGGATTTCTGTTATTCAGCCACTCACCTGTAAGTGTGCTCCCTTTTGGTTATATTAAAACCCTTTGTTGAACTATACCTGCTCCGCTCTGTGTCCTGCGTTTGGGTCCTCCAACCTGCCTCCACACCACGATCGTGACACCATCAGTGGTTTTCTCCTGTTCCTTCATTATTTTGAAGTTGTTGTCGACAACTAATGGTGGCAGGGCCTATTTTGGCTGTTTGATAAACTGATCACGAACAATATTGTGACTGGCGGTTTGCTGTGCATGCAAAGCCTGCTTGTCACCCTAGGAGAGAACTCTGAAACTCAAAACCCAAATTGGCAAACTGGTTCCATAATAGAGGCACTTGATAATAAACGCTGTGGCTCCCTCTCTGACCTTGGGCACCACAAGCAGCCATGAATTTTGAGAGCGCAGTGCTTTCTTTGGGCAGTAAGGTATGAGGAACTTTTTGAGGTAAGCTGGTGCCTGACCATGTAAGGCTTTGTAGGTAAGCAGAACAATTTTTTAATTTTCTGGGTTGCACCTGCGAGCACAGATTCTAAGAAGCGCCAGACACATCCAAGAGATAGAAAAGCACAAATGGGCGTCATGAAGACCACAATGCGTTGCAGATCTCTTCAACACTCTGCTGACGCTGCCACACTTTGGATGAAGTGTGCACGGATCGCAGTGGATGGGTCTGTTCCTGGCAGCACATAGTCTTGGAAGATACACTCGCAAAGCCATCCAGCCACACATCAGGGTGCTTTGAACCACTGTGTCCACTTATATCTGAGAGGACACTTTAGCTTGCTGGTGGTGTGCGGGAGAACTAAAGAGAGTGACCTTGTCTCAGAATGCCATCCATCTAGCTTGACAGCATGCAGCGGCGTTGCTATTCTGCATGGAAATGTTGCAGCGTTGTGAATAAAATGCAGAATTAGCTCGCACCCTTTCTGGGACGTCTTTCTCTCTTCTCTGGCTGTTAGTGCTTCATTTCAGATGTCTTTGATTTGGATCTTTTAACCTCTAATGATGACCAGGGGTGCCTCCAATCAAGTTGGCAACCGTAAGATTATGGCTGCAAACCCCTCACACTACCGGATTATTTGGGCCTTTAATCGGTTTCAACCAACCTCGGCTAAAAAAAAAACAAAAAAATAGTCGGGAGGGATGAATTGAACCCAAATTCAGTTATCCTCTCTTGTGCGGCCAGCATTAGACGCAGGAGAATGGGCACGCTGTCATGATTTGTTCTTGTCTGCTCTGTGTTTCTGTATCTCTATCCTTGTTTTAGTCTGCAGTGGTCAGTACCTATCAAAAGTGGTCCAAGGAAAGAAAAGCTGTGAACCGGTGACAAGGTCATGGATGGCCAAGGCTCATTGACGCATGTCGTCCGATCCAACAGAAAAGCAGTCAGATTGCTGAAGAAGGTAATAGCGGTCAGAACACACAGTACACCCCGGTTTGTTGTGTATGGGCCTGCGTAGCTGCAGACCAGTCAGTTTGCCTGCGCTGACCCCTGTCCACTGTTGAAAGTACCTACAATGAGCATGTGAGCATCAGATTTGGACCACAGAGCAAAGGAAAAAGGTGGCCTAGCCTTATGAATCACTTTTTCTATATCAAATTGATGGCTGGATATCATAATGTTGCATTAACCTGCATCATTCTGTCTCATTTAATGTTTAATTTCTGTGTTGTGCTGTTTGTCTCTTTTCCAGGTTCTGGGTAAACATGGTGATGATGAAGATGATGCAGAGACTTACAGCACCGTGAAAGTTCCTCTTCCTGGGGAACACGTGGCACCAGGATACACTATGGAAAGAGGACAAGCCAGCGGAGGCAGTGTGATGCTTTGACATTTGACCCCAAGTTGCAACTTCTGACATATGTAAAAATAATAAGTCGCTTTGGATATAATCGTCAGCTAAATGTAATGTGAACATTCTGTTAAAGAATGTTTTATGCAAAAATGAGATGATCTCTATCCTGAAATAAATTCAATTCAGTTCATTCCCTGATGGCAGTGGCCTCTTTCAGCAGGATAATGTGTCCTGCCACAGAACAAAAACACATGTCATATCCATCCTGACCTGTAAACTGAAGCACCATTACAAATAAAGACATTTTAATCCATCTGAACTCAACCATCGAGACTCTCTCTCTCGTTTCTCTCTGCCCTTTCTACTTGTAAATCTCTAAACGGGTTGCTTCTTAAAGACAAATGTTTTATCTGCTTCCTCTAAACAATCATTTTTCACTTGCTCATTGTGACTGTCCTTTCCTTTTCCTCTCATATTTCAGCTGTTGCTTTATTTGAGTATCTGGAATTAACACCAGTGAAAATTTAACCCTTGAGGTGTTTCCACATTTTCCTCTCATTCAGCTGTTTGAACTCTCCGAAGTGACTCAGTCAAGATGAGCGCTGTCCCACTTCCTCTGAGTTTGTTTTAATTACTTTCATACCACAACATAAAAAAACACAGCACTAGCACATTAAAGTGCCTGACAGCAAGTTCATCAAGCTAAATGTCCCATATATTATGTTCAGTTACATTTCAAGCAGCCACATAATGTTGTTATTGTGCTACTAGTTAACCTACTGCACCCCCTTCTGGACTAAAAGGCTTTTTACAGCAATAAATCCTGAAAATGATCATAAAATAAGTCTACTAAAAACATTTATCAGTTCTCAGTGTAAATTACCTGTAATGATATGAGCTGTAACTACACTGTGGTCTCTTATTTGTTTGGTTTGTTGACGGTGGCGTAGAGGTCGCTGGGATCAGCTGAGGCTCCAGCAGAAGAAGAGGAAGCTTTCACGCTGCTGTAGGTCACTGCATCATCTTCATCATCACCATCTTTACCCAGAACCTGGAAAAGAGACAAACAGCACAACACAGAAATTACACAACATTAAATGAGAGAAGTGAATGGACTGAGGGCTGAAGGTGAACAGCTGCACTTTTCCAGAGTCACCATCTGTCACTTCACACTTCAAGTTAGACTTTGATTTGTAACTAAAATGAGAATCCAGGAAAGACACAGCGGCGTAGCAGACAGACTGTGATGTCTTCATGTCTTTGTTATCTTTGTCCACATCTTTACCCTCATACAGCCACTTCACTGTGTGTTCACACTCTCCATATGTCAACACAGAGCAGGTTAACGTCACCTTATTAGCGTCCTTACGTTCAGTCACTGGTGAAGATGGAGATATTGTGAGAGAAAGACAACAAGAGTAAAGTTAACTTCATCACTGCTTGTTGTCCTGATTTTAACTGTCTGTTAATGTAACGACCAACATCAACATGCAAACTCGTCTCCCACCAGAATCTGACTCCTGATGTCCATTTTACTGCTCTGAGATCTGCTGGTTCCTCATTGTATCTTTGCAGATATTTTTGTTTTTCAGACAAGAAGTATCTGGTGGTTAACAACAGCAGCAGAGCTCTGCAGGTTTTATCCTCTAATAATGACCAGATAAACATCAGAAATACATGAGGCTCACAGGAACAGACAGTTGAGACTTTATTAGGAAACTTATCAAAGAGGTGCTTATCAAATTCTGTTGAAAACTATTTTAACCCCTGGAAGGTTTGAGGTCACCAAGACTAGTTGCAGCAAACAGTTAAAACATTGAGAAGCTGCCTGACTGAACTGTCTTTAACTGCTTTGAAGTAAAGTTTCAAGCCTCTACAATATGTAACAGCACATAACAACATTCATAGCTTGTCAGAGAAGGTGTTCATGTGCATCCAGCTCTTAGAAGAAGTAGCCTGATTTATCAGATTTTTGTGCATTTTCAAGTCAATTTAGGTGCATTTCTATCTTTGTTTAGACACATTTTTGACGTTTCATTGGATGAGATTGGGGGCATCTGCATAATTACAGTGAGAAATTTTGCTGTTGAGCTAGTGTGAGCATTTAGAGTTAAAAAAGAAGAGGCTCAGGATCGACCCGTGGGGAACTCCACATCGTTTTTCCCTGCTTTTTTGTTACCAGTGGACACAAAGTATACTCCATATTTCTTTTTAGATTTGAACCAATTTGTGAATATGGCAAAAATTTCTTCAGGAAACAATCTGATGTGCAGCGGGACCACCAGTAAGAACAATGTTACATCCTAAGCAATTAAATTTTATAGAATTTAAGAAAGAAAGTTAAAATATATAGCAGAGAAAATTAACCATGCACTGGAAAAGGTGTGGTACAGATTGGTTTCCAAACACTTTTGTATTTGCAGATTACACTTTTCTCATTTATAGTAAAGACACTCTGTTATGGCTGAAAGCTCATTTAAAAACACACAACAAATTGCACAAAAACAAGTTTTACATCAGTGTTATAAATGAAAACCTGTTAATCTCTCGTTTACACAAACAGACAGCTGTGAGCAAAATTTTAAAGCCTAAATTATTAAACATGGAAACAATTTAGACGTATGTTTTTCAACACCTAAGAAACTACTCAAAATTATGTTGCAAGGTTTTCTTCTCTCTTTTTTGAGTTGATGTTGACGTGGAAGTTGTTGATCAGTGGAGTCTCACAGAGGGAACAGGGGCTCCAAAGGCACCGTCACCTTCATCGTCTTGCTCCTATGAAAAGCAACACAACACAATTGAGATTCTGTTAAAATGGAATAAATAAATGTTGAATTGGAAAGCAGAGCAGTCCCTTAGATTTTTTTACAGCCCAAAATGATCAGATTTTCCATCCAGTTTACTGTTGATGTTTTAACCAAGTAGTTTTGTTGCCTAATTGCAATGTTTCACAACTTTAATGACGTACCATTTCAAAATGGTGATATTTTGCAATGATAGTTATATGTTATTTTGAAAGTCTAACCAGATGTTGGCTATTTATTGTTGCTAACTTTACCGGACGTTGCATATTTGTTGTTGCTAAGCTTTGCAAACTTCACCCTGGAGCCAAAAATATCTAAATATTATTCTAAAGGGAGTTAAAAAGTGACGCCAAAGGGCCTTGACCAAGTGTCAATATGTGATGAGTCTTGAGAGAGAATGTGTTAATATAACAAATGTTGGTGTGAATGTTCTCACCTCGAGCTCTGATGAGAAGAACAGTAATCACAGTAATTAGGAGGAGTTCAGCCACACGCATAACCAACATTATGTAGTCCAGAGCAGAACGATCTGTACGAGCTGTAGAACAGAAAAAAATCAACAAGAACTAAATGAAACACTTAAATCAAAAGTTAGATTAATATGTTTATATAAAATAACACAACCCAAGAAACTGTTGTACCTCATGTTTACCATCTGCTGTCAGCTCAGCATATTCTCACCTGTTTTCTCACCTGAGGACTGAGGGCTGAAGGTGAACAGCTGCACGTTTCCGGAGAAAATATCTGATACTTCACACTTCAAGTTAGACTTTGAACTAAAATGAGAATCCAGGAAAGACACAGTGGCGTAGCAGCCAGACTGTGGGTAAACATCTTTACCCTCATACAGCCACTTCACTGTGTGTCTACACTCTCCATACGTCGACACAGAGCAGTTTAATGTCACCTCATCAGCGTCCTTACGTTCAGTCACTGGTGAAGATGGAGATATTGTGAGAGAAAGACAACAAGAGTAAAGTTAACTTCATCACTGTGATCATAATTATTGTAATGTTTCAGTATATTGTTCTAACAAGACAGTTTGAACTGAAAACATTATGATGGAAATACTCACTGGTAACAACAGACAGATAAACCAGAGAGTCCGGACCATGTTCTTCTGATATGTACTGATGACAAAAGTAGTAACCAACATCCTCGACTGTGACCTTCTTTATAACCAGAGAACAGTTCTCTGTAACACTCAGTCTGTCTGATTTAGATAGAGCATCTTCACCAATCTGCCCAAGTAAAACCGGCACTACTGCTGCTGTGTTGTTTGAATGAGTGAAGACCCATGTAGTATATTCACAATTTTGCTGACTGGCTATTAAATTTTTACAAGGCAAAGTGACTTCATCTCCAACTCTGACAGTGAAGGAGGGGGGAAGTTTTTCTGCTGCTGCTGTTGAGAAAATGATGAAAAATAAAGTGAAATGAGAAAATGTCTGTTATGTTCATAGTTAGTGACGATTATTTCTTTATCCTTAGTTTCCAAGAGTTCAATAAACTCATTAGAAACAACAGATTTGGTTTTCTTAGTTAAATCAAATGTAGCTAATAAAGAATCGTTAATAATATTGATCAAGTTATTTTTTACAATGTGCCTTCCATTTATATATGTGATATATGTATTCTTACCTGTAAACTGAAGCACCGCTGGAAGAAATAAAGAAATCCATTTGAACTCAACCATCATGATTCTCTGAGTCTCTCCTTCTTCTGTCTCTTGTTCTCGTGCTCAGAACTGTCTGAGTTTCTAAACTAGTGCTTTAGTAGAGAGCAGCTTTCCTGTTAGGATGATGTCACTTCCTCATAGTGACTTTTAGTCTGTTTTAGATTTCAGTCTCTCTGAATTTCGTGTCGATGTCCAAACAGCCAAAAACTCAGTTACAGTTTTCACTTTTACATTTTAGAAATGCAGTTTTCTCTCATCCACAGTGACTGACAGAGACCCCAAATTCTTGATCAGCAACATGAGATGCAGCCATCAGAGTTCACACTGTCCACTCCCACTGTACTTGTGACGTGTTTTACCTCCTCAAAAGAAGAAGAGAAAGTTGAAGGTGTGAAGATTGTTAGTTAAGATAAATGTTTGCAGTAATGCGACTTGTTTTCTTCAGATAGTGTTTATTAGAAAACAGACAGGATCCATGGTGATGTTTGACAGCACACATGAACAGACAGGTGAAGAGTCAAACTCCTCTCCCACCAGAATCTGACTCCTGATGTCCATGGTGCAATATGGTGATACTGTAGCAGCTGCTGAAGAACACAGATAAGATGAGATTTTACTGCTCTGTGATCTGCTGGTTCTTAATCGTTTCTTCGCCGTTTTTTTGTACAGAGATCTGAAGAGGAAGTATTTTGGTGAGAATGTGGTTAACAACAGCAGCAGAGCTCTGGAGGTTTTTCCCTTAAAAGATGACTAGATAAACATCAGAAACACATGAGGCTCACAGGAACTGACAGATGACACTTTAATAGGACATAAGATAAAGAGGCGCTTAAAACATTCATGGGCGTCCTGACTGAGCATTAAGCCTACACAAATCGTAGCAGCAGGTTGGTTGATGTTGTCAATTTGAAACGTTGCAACATAAATCATTGAGGTTATTGCAAACTATTCAGATGCTGTATGGGCCTTCTCTTTTTGTTGACTTCCTGGGGCATCGGATCGTGGGCTGATTGTGCAATGTTGAGGAGGGAGGGGAACAGCGAAAGAAAAGGAGGAAATGGAGTGGGTCCATGACACGGAGCGCCATGGCTCGTTGTAACTGATGCAGAACAGAAGTCAGCGTTAGTGGTGGTGGTGGTGCTGCGAGAGAGAAACAGCTGCTTGATTAGGGGGAGCCGAAGGAGCTCTGCAGCTGAGGGGAGACAAGAAGAACAGATGCCGGGATGAAGGCATGTGTGAGCAGGGTTAGGGTGTGCAGCCTGCTGAGACATTGATGAGAAAAATGGGGAAAAACAAACGGGAAAAAATCTGACACAAAGGGAGCAGGCATGGGGTGAAACAAATTGGACCTCTATTAGAGCTTCAGCCTCACAGAACTTGTTTTGGGATTTGCCTTTCCTTGAATGTGTACTGAAGGAGGGCAATTGTTCAGTCGGAGGTGGCTGTCGAGGGAAGGAACTTGGACCAGGAGCTCGGGTAGCCAGTGTGTGGCTGCAGGTTGAGCGTCGAGGGTCCAGCTGGTCAGAGTAGGAAGAACGGACTCCTACCGAAAGTTGCAGATGGCAGATATGTGTGTGCTCTGTGTGTGCTCAGAGCTGCTGGATGGAGAATAGCGAATGATGCATAACTGAGGAATTTGGATACTTCCGTTTGTTGAATGGGCTTATGTACATATGTGCAAGTGATTGGTTTAGAGAGGCATGGGTGGATGAAATGAGTGAAGCTGGGGTGGTTGGATTATTGGGAGAGAGAAAGGCGTGGTCTTGTTAGTTACTAGAGACAGTAAATTTATAGTAAAGAATATTCTCATTCCATTATGACACTGTTAGTACATGACTTCACCACTGCGACAGTTGAGGCCTATACTAAAACGTAAGATTTGACATTAGCAAGTTAACTTCAGGGTTAACCCTGGGTTTTCAGTCCTACGACAGTGGTTCACTTCTTACCGGGGTACATTGCCATGGTAACTTTTGCTGCATGGCTAATCTGCTCCTGAGCACATTATAGTTACAACTGCAAAGTCAAAGCTCAGAGTTCTTCAGAACGAGGGACTCCGTCCACGCCAGTTTGGACGCATGCTTGCACTCCTCGCCACTAGAGACCGAGAGACTTGTACACCTGCAGAGCGCGGGACGTTAGCTGTGAGCTAAATTCCTGTGTGTTACCAGTTAAAGTCTAGACGTGTTTACTGAGAGTTGGTAACACTTCCTGTTTGAAACTAAGTGATTTGTTTTCTGTTCGGTCTGCAGATTACATTGGTGATCCCAGGTCCGCTGTTGCTGACGTACTGTGGTAAGCGTGTGAACTCATTTCCGTTTCCGGTTCTTGTGTGTTGGTAGCGTGTTCTGCTGCTCTTGCTAAATACCAACTGTCCACTAAACACTTATTCTTACAGTAATTTTGCCTAAGCACTCACAGTTCTTCCCCTCTTTTAGTGACTGCTGTTCAATCTCATAATTGTTCAAAAATGTTGGTAATGCTACAGTACTTTAGCTTAGCCGTTAGCGACTTTAGCTTAGCAGCTAGCGATGGCTTCTCCTTCTCCCTCTCTCTCTCCTACTTTCTCCTGCTCGGTGTGTCAGATGTTCAGTTACTCCTCTGCGTCCTTTAGCGGTAATGGTACGTGTAATAAGTGTAGTTTATTTATAGACATGGAGGCGAGGCTCAGTGATTTAGAAGCCCGGCTCCGCACCTTGGTAGATCAATCTTTAGCTACTGTATCTAGCCAGTCCCTGGTAGTCGGTGAGGAACGGCCTGAGTTAGCCTGTGGTAGCCCTCCCCCGGCATTTCCTGAGCAGCCAGGAAGGGGTGGCTGGGTGACTGTCCGAAGGAGGAATTGATGGGCACCATCAACCTGTTCACGTTTCTAACAGATTTTCCCTCCGCAACACACCCGCTGAGAAACCATCTCTGATCATTGGCAGCTCCATTTTGAGAAACGTGAAGTTAGCGAAGCCAGCGGCCATAGTTAAGTGCATCCCTGGAGCCAGAGTGGGCGACATTGAGTCTTATTTGAAACTGCTGGCTATGGATAAACGTAAATACAGTAAGATTGTTATTCACGTCGGCGGTAATGACTCCCGGTTACGCCAATCGGAGGTCACTAAGATTAATGTTGAGTCAGTGTGTACATATGCAAAAACAATGTCGGACACCCTAGTTTTCTCTGGACCCTTGCCAAATCTGACCAGTGATGACATGTCGTCATTCCGCCGCTGGTTGTCAAGGTGGTGTCCAGCAAACGATGTGTGCTTTGTAGATCATTGGCACACTTTCTGGGGAAGACCTGGTCTGATTCGGAGAGACGGCATCCATCCCACTTGAAGGAGCTCTCATTTCTAGAAATTATTAGTGTAACAAATCCATGACAACCCAGAGTTGAGACTATGAGGCAGAGTCGCAGTCTGACACACTTCTCTGCTCCTCCATTTCAGGAGTTACTTAGTGAAAATCCTATAGTGACGGTGTCTGTCCCCCGACCATTGAAATTATTTAAATCAAAGGTAAACAGAAGAGTTTAAGAGAATCTATTTTTATCAACAGGCTATGTACCACAGTACTTTAAATAAGCTGTAATAAAACCTCTTCTGAAAAAGCTCAAACTTGATCCGGATGTTTTAGCCAACTATAGACCTATATCTAACCTTCCATTTCTCTCTAAGGTCCTGGAGAAAGCATTTGCTAAACAGCTGTGTGACTTTCTACAGAGCAATAGTTTGAGGATTTTCAGTCAGGATTTAGAGTTCATCATAGCACAGAGACAGCACTGGTGAAAATTACTAATGACCTCCTCATTGCATCAGACAAAGGACTTGTCTCTGTACTGGTTTTATTAGATCTTAGTGCTGCATTT